GTTAGGTTAAGGGTTAGGTTTAGGGTTAGGTTTAGGATTAGGTTTAGGGGGGTTAGGTTTAGGTTTAGGGGTTAATTTTAGGTACAGCGTGCTTTTTTCTCCGTGCTGTTGTTGCGCTGTGATGACATCAGCTACGCAGTTTCGTCGAGCGCCCTTTAGTCGAACGCGGTTTTGTGGTGGAACCTAGGCCTATACCAGGGATAGCTAACCTTTTTGTCCTCGTGTGCCGACATGCTTTGACACACACACACACACACGCACTTCCCCCGCACATGCGCATGACCCCCCTGTACTCCCCCCATACTCCCCCTGCACAAGGTCCAAAACGGGCCTTGAGGGGATGCGTCCCATTTTTGCTTCCGGGAGGCTTTAAGGAGGCCTGCTAGCCCAAAACGAGCCACGGGGTGGGGGGGTTGCATGCATGTACAGGAGAAGTACGGGGAGGGTCGTGTGCATGTGCGGGGGGGAGCGTGGAAGGGTCATGTAATCTTGTACGGGTAGTTCTCAAGTTACCACAGTCCATTTAGTGACCACTCAAAGTTACAAGGGCATTGAGAAAAGGGACTTATGATTATTTTTCACATTGAGGACTGTTGCAGCGTCCTCGTTTTCCTGGTCATGTGATCAAAATTTAGATGCTTGGCAACTGGCATGTACTTATGACAGTTGCAGTGTGTTCCCCCTTTTGCGACCTTCTGACCAGTAAAGTCAACGGGGAAGACCGATTCCCTTAACAACCGTGTTACTAAACGTAACTGCAGTGATTCACTTAGCAACTGCGATAGCAAAGGTTGTAAAATATGGCAAAACTCACGGAACATCTGTCTCGCTGAGCCGCATAAATTTTAGGCTCAATCGTGGTCAGAAGCCGAGGAGTTCCTATAGAGCAGTGTTTCTCAACCTTAGCAACTTGAAGATGTCTGGACTTCAAGTCCCAGAATTCTCCAGCCAGCGAATGCTGACTGGGGAATTCTGGGAGTTGAAGTCCAGACATCTTCAAGTTGCCAAGGTTGAGAAACACTGCTATAGAGCATTCAAGTTCTAACTTAAATGCAAAGCTTTTCATTGTGGTTCATTTTTTAAAATCTCGTTGTATTTTTATAAAAGGGAATTGATTGAATACGATGATCCTAAAATCCCACTGTTTACTACTGACCTGGATAAACTGGAAGGAAAAACACCTGCAGCTCTTGCAACAGGTAAATATTGAAATTAACCCAACATGGTATCCTGTTAGAGGATGGCGCAGTGGCCTAGAGGGGGAGCTCTCGCCTCACAATCAAGAGGCTGTGGGTTTGATTCTAGGTAGAGGCAAGTATTTCTCTCTCTCTGGACACAATGAGAATATATGCACAGGTACAGTATAGGTGGTACCTTGCTCAATAGTAGTAACTGNTCTTCTTCTTCTTCTTCTTCTTCTTCTTCTTCTTCTTCTTCTTCTTCTTCTTCTTCTTCTTCTTCTTCTTCTTCTTCTTCTTCTTCTTCTACCTCCTCCTCCTTCTTCTTACTCTCTGGAAACAAATATTGTGGGGGTAAGACACCCCTAACACTCCTCAGGGTGTGTGTTCTGTTAAGATACAGCCTGTTGTGTCGTATTGCCGTACTGGCTTCTACTGTACAGCACAGTGGACTTGCCATAGTAACGGCTTCACAGTATTCCACAAGGGGGTTCCCTCTGCTAAGGGGGAAAATCCAACATTAAAAATTATGTTTGTTCCGGACATTATCTGCTAGTTACAAATAATATTTGGAATATACAGGTAGTCCTTGATTTACAACCATTCTTTTTGTGACTGAATTTACAATGGCACTGAAAAAAGTGACTTAACGGCTAGTTTTCCCAGGTATGACCGTTGCAGTCATGGGATGAAAATTCAGCCACTTGGCAACTGGCATGTATATGTGACAGTTCCACTATCTTGAGGTCATGTGACCACTACAGGTAGCCCTCAACTTCTACGATTGAGCCCCAAATTTCTGTTGTTGTGTGAGACATCGGTTAAGTGAGTTTTGCCCCATTTTACGACTTCCCCCCATTGTTAAGTGAATCAGTGCAGTTGATAAGTTAGCAACCCGGCTTCCTCATTGACTTTGCTGGTCATACGGTCAGAAAAGCAGATCGCGTGATCCTGGAATAGGGCAAAGGTCATAAATTGGAACCAATTGCCAAGCATCTGAATTTTGATCACATGACCACAGGGATGCTGTCAGGGTCGTAACTATGAGGAACGGTCATAAGTCACATTTTCCCGTGATGTAACTTTGAATGGTCATTAAACGAACTACTGTAAGTTGAGGACTACCTGTATTATATAACCCTCCTAGCCAGCGTCGGACAAAACAATCAATGGGGGAAAGCCAGATACGCTCAATGACCATCCGATTCACTCAATGGCAGTGATTCGCTTGATAACCGTGGCCAGAAAGGTTGTAAAACGAAGCAAAACTCACAACAAATGTCTCACTTAGCAACAAACGTCATCATAAGTCCAGGACTGTCTGGATAACAGCCAGCTGCTCTCGCATCGATACAGGTCGTCACGGTTTCATCCGAAGTTCCCAAAAGAATCCAGAAGGCGTTGCAGAACGCGGAAGATTCGAAGAAATCTCTGGATCAGCTTCTGGAGAGCGAAGGAATCTTGCACGATTTGGTGAATAGCCACCTGTTGAGCTCCGGCCCTTGGATGGAGGAATTTGGTGCCTTGATAAGTCAAATAAAAGAAGTCGAAAGACACCTGGCTTATTTAAAACAGATTTCACAAGTAGAAGAATTGAGGTAAAGAACGTTTGCACGTCGTGTCATGTAATTTTAGCGTAATGGAAGGCTTAAAGCCACGGAATCATCATCTTTTATATATATAAAAATGGTGTGTGTATATATGTATGTATGTATGTTCCAGCATAACATACAGCGAGAGCGAGCAATTTCAACCAAACTTGGTACACCGATGACTGACCCTCTGGAAACAAATACTGAGGGGGTAAAGACACCCCTGGTGTGTGTGTGTGTGTGTGTTCCAGGATAACTCTGGAATGCCTGGCCCGTTAAACAAGAGCGAGTTTGGAGTCCTAGAGCGGCAATTGTTTGTGATGTCACCTTCCTTTGCAACTTCCTCTGGAAAGCCAGTGGACTAATGGGGAAGCGCCTAATGAATTTGGGACAAAGTGCCAGGATCGTAGACAGGGCGGGAAAGAGGAGTGCATGGGAGAGGAGGGCAGGGAGGATGGGCATAGGAGTAGGGAGAGGAAAGGCCCCTCCCAATGCCTCCCTTTCAGACAAAAATCTAAATACCTCGGCAATGTTGTGTTATCAGCTAGTACTTATATAAAGAGACGTGCATTAATCCTTCTTTTTTTAAAATACAAAACAGCTTCCTTTGTCTTCCCAAAAAGCTGTTTTGCAGATTTTTTTTAAAGGGACTTCTGAGTACATAACCCCGGATGGAAACACTGACTTCTGAATCCTATCTGCACAGGTTGTTTCTTAAGAGAGGAATCTGAATTACGTTTTAGAAATAAAACTATCATAAACATATATATTAGAGCCGAAATGTACCTTTCTTAGAGTACCAAAGCTGCGTCAGCCAAATACTCTCTTCTAATCAGTAATTCTACTTGGGTTTCATTTGATTATTTTTAATTTCCGGCAATACCACACACCGTATAACAGGGGAGTCAAGACTCGATTTCATGGAGGGCCGCATCAAGGTTGTGTTTGACCCCGGAGGGGAGGGGCAAGGTGGGCGTGGCCTACTGCAATCCTCTGCTAGCGAAAACGGAGCTCGGGAGGGCCGCCCGTTTTTGCTGGTGGAGGCACCGCAGGTCGGTCCTTTGCTGTTTCCAGGGTGGCCCCGTGGGCCAGCTAAGCACACCGTGGGCCGGATCCGGCCCGCGGGCCGTGAGGTTGATACCCCCTGCTGTATAATCTCTGCTCATTTGTCCCCCGTTTCTCCCCCCCCCTTTGTTTTGCTAGCGACAACATCCAGCAGTATCTTATGACTAACAACGTGCCTGAGGCAGCTACTGCGTTAGCTTCCATGGCTGAATTAGACATCAAGCTTCAAGAATCCTCCTGCTCGCATCTCTTAACTTTTATAAGATCTACTATTCAGTTCTGGCACAAGATCCTGAAAGACAAATTGTCCAGGTAGGAAAAATTGTCCGGCAATTGTCCGAGGCTTCCTTTGGATCGCAGAGTCAATGGCGGTTACGACAAGGCTCCATCTTTTTGCAGTGACTTCGAAGAGACGCTGACTCAGCTGCACTGGCCATTCATCGGACCAGCTCAAACCAAAAATTTGGGCCTGGCTCCTTCCTCCACGAATGCCGCAGAAATCTACAGTAACTTCGAAAACTTGTTTTCTCAGCTCCTCAAACTGCAGCCCTCGTATCCTTTGAGCATTTGCTTCAATGCAGAATTATCTGTGTCATTCTGCAGGGAATGTAGAGTCACGGATATCCAAATGTCAGCCATCTTAAGGTATTTGTTGTGGCAGTGGAGAAATTCAAATATTTTTTACTACCGGTTCTGTTGACGTGTCTTGGCGGGCATGGTGGGCGTGATTTGGTGGGCATTTCAGGGGAAGGATACTGCAAAATCTCCATTCTCTCCCCACTCCAGGGAAAGGATACTGCAAAATCTCCATTCCTTCCCCACTCCAGGGGAAGAATACTGCAAAATCTCCATTCCCTCTCCACTCCAGGGGAAGGATACTGCAAAATCTCCATTCCCTCTCCACTCCAGGGGAAGGATACTGCAAAATCTCCATTCCNGATGATGATGATGATGATGATGATGATGATGATGATAGTGGTATCCTATTCAGGGACAGGAAGAGTTTTAATGTTAGCCTTGAACATTATTTTTTAAAATTAATATTAATTAATTAAAAGTTTTCATGTGCTAATCTTTCATGTTTGATTTTACTCACGTCAGGAGGCAAATACAAGGCTCTGAAGATGGAGTTCTCCCTCCCACCATCTGCTTATGCCACAATGGCGATTCGAGAAGTGCTAAAGGTGGACACCAGCATCAAAAGTCAATCACAGTTAAACACAACTTGGCTCCGTTAATCCTTTTCAGGGAACCGGAGAAGGTTTTTGACATGCAAAATTTCTTCCTCCTTTCCTCCTTTTATCTTACCCACCTGATTTCTAACTGAGCTGTATTTTTGTATTAGTTGAAAGGACGTTATTTCAGATTTGCTGTAAAAAGAAAATAATAATTTTGTTTTTTTAAAGAGTTTGAACAAATGTGGTGCTCCCTACGGCAGAATTCAAACTACCAATTGGCTTTGTTAACGGTATTTAACGCTCAGAGGTGTTTCACTCCCGTATTGGAAACCAACAGACCTTCAGGAATATGGTACAGAGTAAAAGTAATTGCGAATACGTTTCATTCTGCAGTTCAGGAATATTAAATGGAATATGTTACCTTTGAAAACATATCTGTATCCAACAGGTTTATTTCGCCTTAAGAATGCTGAAAAAGCCTACTTTCACAACTACTGTTGACAAAACGTTCACCTCTTTTCCAGCTGCTTTTTAATTTGATATGTACTATTGTTAAATCTCTGTTTTTCCTAACATGCAAACTTGGACAGAAGCCAACACCTCATAACAGAAGTCGTATGTCAACCAACTTCTTATGGTTTGGTCTGTTGCTGGCAACAGATGAACTGGGGAAATTTGCACCTTGACTTGACTGGATTAAATTACCCATTCTGAATTTGATTATTTAGCGTGTCTGCGTTTTATTTCCAAAACCTGCCAAAATAATTTGCTTCCTTTTTCTTTGTATTGATTAGTTTTTAATGGAACCGTGTTGCTCAGCTTTATTCGTTTAGATCACAAACACAAAGGCTGAATTTAGGCAAAATGTTTGATAAACTCACTTTCATCAAATATCTTGACTACGGAGCAAAATCTGCTGTTTTAAAAAATGAACCAGATAGATTTCCTTTTGCCAAACGTATTCTCTAATCAATAGATGGGAAAATCTTAGGATGTGAGCAGGTTTTAAGGAGACTTGTATATGGAAAATTATCACCTGTCCCAAGTAGAACATCGCTTCCAGGGGCTAACACACAGGATGTATAGCCAAAGAATTCTATAGTCCGTTTTAAAAAATTCATCACTTTCTCACTTCCTGACCTGTCAAAACATCTCACTGAAATACAAACAGCAAAATTGATAAGATCAGAAAATCAGCAATGTCATTGTAGGAGATGGAATGCAGTGTTGCTGCCACAGAGGATGTAAAATGGCCTCAGCGTGGCTGGAGGATCAAAGCTCTGCATGCTGAGATAGGATGAGCGGTTGTGCTCAGGTGTGAACGGATGAGGTGTGTGGCACGTTATTTAGCAAAAGATTAACATTCCCACTCTCATGTTAATGGCATAGAGATTGCAGATCTCTTATGAGTGCTCTTAGTGCATTCAGGATTAAAAATGAAAAGGTGCTTTGGAAGTACGTATGCAGCATCTACAGTATCTATGTAGGGTTTCTTGGAAAAACTACGTCTTTTTCTTGAAATTTAATTGGAATTTCCCTGGGGAAGGAAGGAAAGAAATATTTTTTCAAGTTAATTTGGGCATATGAACACACTTTCCTTCCAAACTGAGAGTTGGGTGGATAGATAAGATTGAATGCATGGGTGATAGATGATAGGTAGATGTGGATGGATGGACGGATGGACAGTCACACGGATGGATGGATGGTAGATGATAGGTAGATATGGATGGATGGACACAGAGGGAGGGAGGGAGGGAGAAGATTGGATGGATGGTAGTTGACAGATAGATAAGATTGAATGCATGGGTGATAGATGATAGGTAGATGTGGATGGATGGACGGATGGACAGTCACACGGATGGATGGATGGTAGATGATAGGTAGATATGGATGGATGGACACAGAGGGAGGGAGGGAGGGAGAAGATTGGATGGATGGTAGTTGACAGATAGATAAGATTGAATGCATGGGTGATAGATGATAGGTAGATGTGGATGGATGGACGGATGGACAGTCACACGGATGGATGGATGGTAGATGATAGGTAGATATGGATGGATGGACACAGAGGGAGGGAGGGAGGGAGAAGATTGGATGGATGGTAGTTGACAGATAGATAAGATTG